GCGGTGTCCGTATGCAATGCAGAGATGCATGCGGTGTCCGTATGCAATAATTTCTCCATAAAAGGACTCACAAGTTGTTAAGAAAAAATATAGAGATATAATCACATTTTCTAAAGATATATTAGAGTCATTTGCATGAATTTAGTGAGTTTTCTATACAAAGTGGATCATCCATATTAAAACTAATTTTTATTTTTGTTCCAAAATGTTGGAACTTTAATTAGTAAATGCTTGACTCAACATTTTACTGTAGAACTATCTTTTCTTAGTTTGCTTTATGGGGAATTAGGTACTCATTGTTGTCTCAAGGGTATGTGCAAGACTAATTTGATAACATTAGAGAGCTAATTCTTTTGTTTCATTACAATATATATTCTTAAAGCACAAATTATATTGACTGTATTTTTAAGAAGGTTGAAACACTTTTCTCATCGTTGGTCTATCTATAGGATTTGATCTCAGCAAACTTTTCTAGTCAATAGTTTATGGTCTCACCAAACTTAAAATCAAACAAACTCATCTTTCTTAGTTTAAGATTAACTCGAGTTGTTCATTAGCTTATTAATAATGAAGTCGTGCTGACCACAGTTATGACATTAAGAACCAAGAGGCAAACAAAATTCTCCCTTTGGACTCAATATATTAAAAATCCAAAATTTCAAATTAAAGCTTTAAGACACCTACTAAAAGCCTTTGAAACCAATCTTGACTCAAATGAGCCAAGATGGCTTTGTTGACCTCATTTGACTATGTAAACATAAAGTGATCATGTGTGGCCCACTAAACAATTTAATTTCTTAATTATTTAATTTCAAATGAAATTTATTGGTTTATAAGGCATTAAAACCATACTTAAGCTAAATCAAAGCCTCCAAACCAAGATTTAGCCTACTTTGGCTAGTAAACCTCTTGGAACCTTTTTAAATTTTGAAAGAAATAATAAGATCAATTGAATCAAATCTAACTTGATATCTCTAAACAACCACCTTAGCTATATAGATCAAAATCTAAAACGGTTAGACTCAAAATGGCCCACATTATGTAGTTGACCCAAATATGATCCATTTAATAGATAATTGGGTTAAACTCACCCCTAACCAATCAAAATCCAATTTAAATCAAATTAAATGAAAAATTAATAGAAATTAAAGTCAACCTAGGTAATTAAAATGTAAATTAAAGTTTTGAGCCTAGTTTGTATTACTGGGTCTACTTGACTTAAATAGATTGAATGAAATAAAAAAACCCTAATTCAAAATTAAATAAAATCAAACAGGTCAAATTTTCCCTTAAACTAAACCTATATCAATTGAGCCATAATTGAAGTCAATTGGTAATCAATAGACTAATTATGTCAATTAACCCAATTCACTTAAAGTTTGGAACAATTGAAACCAAACGTGCTCAATCAATTCTTAAATCAAAATTAACTGAACTAAAGCCAAAATCAAGCCAAACTAAGCACAAAGTGGAGGTAATCAATAGACTAATTATGTCAATTAACCCAATTCACTTAAAGTTTGGAACAATTGAAACCAAATGTGCTCAATCAGTTCTTAAATCAAAATTAACTTAAAGCCAAAATCAAGCCAAACTAACCACAAAGTGGGTCAAGTCATCTACTAGACCCAACTTGACATTTGAATCATGTTGAAACAAATTCAAATAGAATTAAAATTAATTGAAATTAAATATTTTGGAAGCTCAAAATTTTTAATTAAACTTAGGTCAAGTTTAATTGAGATCCAATCAGATAAAAAATGTCACTTGACCCATTTTCTTCACATTGAACCGAATTTAAATGAACCAAAATTTATTAAAATAAAACTTCTATAAAATCTTAATATCACTAATTAAACCTTATTCAAGTTCACTTTTGAGGCCCATTGTAATCAATTTGGTCATTTGAACCAATGTGACCACTATACTATATTAAGACAAACTTATATTAACTTCAACTTAAATTAAGTAAACATTCAAAAAAATTTCAAGCCACTAATTGAACTTAAAGCCAATCCCCCGTGGTGCCCAATTTGGATAATTATTCCACATAACCATATTGAATCCAACATGCCTTAAATATGACACATCGAGCCAAAAGTCAAATCGAGCATTCCAAAAGTCTCACAACCATTAATTGAACATAACCCTCACCCTTTAGAGCCCAAGTTATCCAATTGGTATGCTTGGCCTAAGTTGACCCAAATAGGTCACATTAAGCCCAACCTAACCAATCAGGAATAAATGCAATATAAATGTGCTAATCAGCTCTTTAGGTCCCTAGTGATTTGCCCAAGTGACCCAACTCAAATTGAACCCAATTTAGGCTAAGCTGCCCCAACCAAGCACCTAAATTTGCTCTAAATCCAAAAATAACCAAGTTCGATCCATAGCATTGCATTAAGCAAATGCTAATAGATGTTTTAAGCTTAACCAAACCACTCTAAATGTTTGGTTGAAATTGGTTCACTCCCCACATTTCGTTTAGTGGAGATCTTTGCCAAAAAAAATCATGGATAATTGACAACATTCCATTGACTAGTCATAATCTATTTATAGCTTAGGAAAATTCATATATCAAAGTCCATGGTCAACCCATACCAAATGCTTAACTCATGTAGGGAACTTCATCCAATGGGTGTTTTTTGAACTTCAAGCATTCAAAACACTCACAACTACGAAAATTAATGTCAAAGCCATGCCTCCCTTAGTTGTAGTTCATCAAATCTTTCGACTCAAGCATCCCCAAACTTGATTAAAGGTAGAATGGACTTTGTGGAGCTTAGACTAGCCCAATCAAATAACAAAGTGCAACAAATGACAACACACCGAGCATACTCTTATTTTCATTTGGCATTGGTATTTTATGAAATAAATTGTCAAATTTACTCTATCCCACCATAGGATAAATCAATCTTAGTTCTTAGATTAATTTGGGCAACAAATAAATTAGAATTGCCATTTGGATTAAGCATATCAAGTCAAATTAAAGGATGCATATTATTTTTCTCCATATAGAAGAATATAAAAGTACTACTTGTTCATTACGTGTGATGGATGGTTGAGATCTGGTTGCACCAAAAAATCACACAATCTACAAGTCGTCTGATTTAAAACATGCTTCCAATTAGTCTATAATGTGTTAAGTGTAGGTGAGACTATAATAAACTACAATAAGTAACAAATAGAAATTTAAATAAATGAAAGAAAATGTAAAATTTTTTAAAATTCATAAAAATAAAAAAAAATAAATAAATAAATAATACTATAAGCTCAAGAAACGAAGCTTTTTTTATAAAAGCAAAACAAAAATTTAAATCTTAATTAATTAATTTTGCTAAGAAAATTTAAACTCATTTAAAGTAGTGATCAAAGTTCCTAAATAATCAAATTTCCTAAATAAAATTAGCAAAATAATATTTAAAAAAATATAAAATAACATAAAATTAGCAAAATAATATTTAAAAAAATATAAAGTAACTAAATAGGTCAAAATAAATTTAAATGGTTATAAATACCATAAATAATTAATCAATATTAATTAATGAATAAAGAAATTACTTAATAAATAATTAATTTTATAAAATTGTATCAATAATGAATTAGTTTTATAAATAAAAAATTATTTATTAGTATAATAAAAATATTAAAATTAAATATAGTTATATTTAATAATTATATATATTTAAAGTAGCATATTTAAATCTTAAAATAGAATCTCAAACTTCACGTTTAATATTTGTCACATAAAATTATTTTTAGAATTTAAATGTCTCAAATTTATGAAATCTAGATGTAAGAGGTTTACAAAATCCCTAACCAACGTCGTGAAAATCGGACTAAACATCAAATCAGAAGAAGAAAATGTTTAAAGTTCATTGGTTGGAGCGAGGTTGAACATGATGACATAATAAATATATAAATTAATTAAATATGGCATAAATAATACAATAATAATATAATAAATTAATAATACAATTTTTTTTTGGCTCAATTTATAAAGGAGCCGAACACAAATAAATATTTGTTCGCGCCCGTTCGGTTTTTTTGACTCGAAATAATTAAATAACTAAACATTAATATTTATTCTTATCTTTTTATATTAATTCTTTATATTTATTTAAAAAATGTAAACAAATGTTAATATTTTTTTATTTTTAAAAATTATTTAAGTGGTATATTTATAAAAAAAAATACAATTTTTTTTTTTGTTAGATATGTAAATAAATAAGATTTGAGTGGAATGATGTAATATTACTAAAAATATAAAAAATAGAAGTTTAGGTGTTCGATATATCAATAAATAAGATTTGAGGGTTATGCATGTAAATATTCCTAAAAATATGAATAATACACAAAATTAGGTGTAAATTCCTAAAAATAAACGTGTTACATTTGTAAATAAATAAAATTTGAGAGGGATGCATGAACTTGTGTCCCACACCGTATTTTCAGAACTCTTAAGGTCTCTATTGATAAGTTGATTTAAAATAATCTACTAATAAGCTAGGTGCGGTGACTATTATAAATTTTTATTTTTTTTGGAAAAGTCAGACTGCAGCCAGAAAGTTGTCACTGCACCTAGATAGATGCAATGTGAAAAAACTGTTTTCAGCATTTTGAAAACGCATAAGCTGCCAAAACGCAGTTTACCCAAATAATTCAGGTGCGTTTTCAAAATGCCCACCAAAAAAACTGTCCTAAACGGGCCCTAAATATTTCTATAAAATGAAGAATTAGTCTCCAATTAGTAATCGATTTAAAAAATAAATAAACAAATAACTAAATAATAAATGTAAAAACAATTCATTTGAAAGCTCAGTTTGATGGGAAATATTTGCATACAAAATATGCATGCAGCTCTGTGCGTGTACTCTATTAACCCCGCAATACTCTCATAATAACCTATCAACAATATCGAAATAGAACATGTGAAGTTTATTAGGTTATATATTATTGAACTTAATACCCAATAACCTCCTAATAACCACGAAGGGTTTATTATGCCTACAACTCTACTGTGCGTATTCCGTGTGGTTTGATGGCTGGTTGAAGGGTGGGCTCAGTTTAGTTCGGCCGGTCTGATGCAAAAATTATTTTTAGGTTTCGTTGAGCCCGGCCGCTTTGGTTCGGTTTGTTAAAGCTTGTCCCTAACAGCGTACAGGTCGCCGGCACCATCCCGCACCTGATTCGCCCCTCACAACTGGAAGCCGCCGGATGCACACCATCGTCGACGGCGAGCCGC